TTTTTTTTTTTTTTTTTTTGTTTTTTTGGTACCGGAGATCAAAATTGGGCTCTTGTGCTTGTGAAGCAGGTGGTGGCACCAATGAGCCAAATTCCCGGCCCATGACTGGGTCTTTTATTTGGGGGACCTATTTCTTTTTTGTTCTTTATATATTCTAGATCTGAGTCCTCTGTCTGAGGAATAGCTGGCACAAATTTTTTCCCATTCTGTAGGTTGTCTTTTCACTCTGTGGGTTGTTTAGAGCTTGCTTTTCCATTGGATGACACTTGGCAGCAGCATTCACCATTTTTTAATTACACATCATAAAGATGCTGATGATGGGCTGAGGATTTAGCTCAGTGGCTCTACCACTTGCCTCACGGAGGCAAGGTCCCAAATTCAATGCCCAAGTTCAATCCCTGGTACAAAAAACGAAACGATGATAATGAAGGAGGACTTCCAGAGCTGCTTCAGAAGGTGGCAGGAATTGTGGGATGAGCATGTTTGGGGAGGGCAGATTTGAAAGGGATTTGTCTTAGATGTTCTAAATTTAAGGATTCACCTTCTATTTGGATCACTCCTTGTGTATGTAACCAGAAACCCTATCCAGTATTCTAACTCTCCATAGAAGAAGACTCTGTATTAATCCACAGGAAGGAAGTAGAGTTGTTTTCTTTTTTAAACCTAAACTGGATCATGCTGCACGTATATCATAGAGCTGGCCTTTGTCACTTCCTGGGTCTTTTTCCCTCTGAGTGCACACAGACCTGCCTTGTGTGTATAACATGATTATTGTACACCTCTGTAGTGCCACACACAGTGTTTTGTAGGTTCTTACCATCACAGGCCCACTGTGGCACTGTGCTCCCAGCATGTGTCACGTGTGAGTGTCTGAGCTGTGTGCCTGTGACTGTGCTTCAATGGTACCTGTGCCTGGGGACTGAGGACAGACAACATTCAGAGTAGTCGGCTCTGGGCAGCAGCACCATGGGACCTTCCAGGGCCACTGTGATCACTGTTGCATCTTAATGGAAAGTTTTCGTTATGTTGTAATTCCATAATTTGACATTTCAAAGAACAGTTATATTTGAAGGTCAACATCTTCTGAGCAAACTTTTACATCTGAGCCGATTTTTCAGCGTTGGTGTGCAGCGCCCACTAGCCAGGGAGCTAGGACGGAGGCGTGGACTCCTGCTCGGCCACACACATCTACACCGCAGTTTAATGTTGCCGCAGGTGTAGAGAGAAGGGCTTTATTCCCAGCTGCTGTGCTGTTGGTGCCACGTCTGTAGCAGTTGAGCAGTTAGGTTACCCGCCAGTTTAATAAGCACAGGTTCTCAGGGTAGAGTGTGTCTGAAGCACAGCTTTCTACCTTCAGAGTTCAGCCTGTTGTGGTCTGGTGTGGTTGGGGTTGAGCGTTCACCACGTGCGGTAACGCTTCTGTCCGTCTTCATCCCCAGTGCTGGGCCTGGTGCTCCCGATGTGGGCCATCGCACTCATTTCCTTTGGTGTCGCTCTGCTCTTCGCCGTTTTCGTGTGGCTCTTTGTCTGTCCGTGGATGCGAAGGAAAATAGCAGGTAAGGACCTTTCTTTCTGCTGAATCACAGAAATGCTTCCGGTTCCTGAGACTTCCCACGTAACAAACCCTGCATCCTGAGGAACAGGGCAGTGTGGAACACTGTACAATGTACACTGTGCTTGCACCCCCTCTGCCTGCTGACTACTTTCTAGCTGGGACTTTTCTGGGTGACCTGTGGTCCATGTGAGCAGGAAGTTCCTCACTGCCATGGATTACTGGAAGTTAGCTGTTCAGCCAGCTCTGCAAGCCTGGTAGAAAGGTAGTCTTCAGGGAAATGCAAACTAATACAATAAGGTGCCCCTCATGCCCACAAGAAGAGCAAAACCTAAAAAGACAAGTCCAAGTGTTGATGAAGATGTGAAACACCAGAATTCTCATACATTTATGGTGAACTATAAAGTAACACAACCACTTAGAAAATTAGCTTAGCAGTTCCCTGTGAGGTTAACCATACACTTACCACATGTCCCAGGACTTCCACTCCTAGGTATTTAGCCAAGAGAATTGAAAATGTGTGTTCCTAAAAAGACTTGCCTACGAGCCAGCTGTGGTGATCCACTCAGAAGATTGCAGCGGCAGGATCACCAGCTGCAGGCCACCTAGAGTGCATAGTGAGGCGCTATCTTTAAAAACAAAAAGAAAAAGAAAATGTCCCTATAAGTTTTAGTCATAATATCCAAAAATTGGAAACAACCCAAGTGTTCACCAGCAGATGAAAAGACAACCACAGGGTGGCATGTTCGTATGCTAGGAGACAACTCAGCAATAACGTAGGCACAGATGCATAATGAGTTTCATGATGTTATGTTGAACAAAAGAAGCCAGATTCAAGAGTGTATGTGCTGTATGATTCCAGGTTTCAAAAACTCTTTATTAAATTTAAGAACAGGAAAAATTAGTAGTGATAGAGATTGCTGGGTGCTTAGGATAGAGAGGGGTTCAGAAGAAACTGAAGAAGACAGAGGGACTTTTCGGGGACAAGGGAATAGATTTGATCTCAGCTGGGAAAGTGGTAATGCAGTGTGCTGATTTGTCATGGATTCTCCATTTAAAATGTATGGTCTTTATCACATATAAATTATACTATGATAAAAGCAGTTTTTATGAAGAAGAAAAATATGGTTGGGCTAGGTCTTAGCTCAGTGGTAAAGCTCTTGCCTAACACGTGCAAGGTGTCAAGTTGGTCTAGCCTTAATATCACTGAAATGGAAATCTCAGCAGGATATTTTGTAGATCTAGACAATCTGTTTTAAAAACGTACATAGAAAGCCCAAAGGATTAGTATACCCATAATGATTTTGAAAAAGAATAACGTTAGAAGATTCATACCTGACTTTAAGATGTACTGTAATGCTACAGGACAGTTTTATTGGGGAAGGGACAGGCACGTGGGCGAATGGAACAGAAGAATCTAAAAATGGACCCGCACATGTGTGGAGGGTCAACTTGCAATGGAGATACAAAGGCGGTTCCACAGAGACAGTACAGTCTCTTCAGAAAACTACACGGGAACAGTTGTACATTCGTACAGCAGCAAAACAAGAACCTTAGCCCAAATCTTACTCCTATGCAATTAACTCAAAATACTTCATAGAGCTAAGTGTAAAATAAAAACAATAAAACTTTTAGGGGAAAAAAGAAGAGGAAACTTTTGTGACCGTGGGTTAAGCGGAGAGCTTTTAGACCTGACACTAAAAACATGATCTGCGGAAGAAATAGGTAAGTTATACCTTATCAGAATGAGAAACTTGCCTTCTGAGCAACAACACCATTCCAAGAAGCTTCTTGTATTGAGAATCTATAAAGAAAACTCAGAAGATAAAATAGCCCAGTTCAGATACCTGCACAGACCATTTCCAGGGCAGAGATGTGTGGGCGGTGAGTAAGCCAGTGTTGAGGTGTGCGGGGTGGGTGGGGAGGGGTTCACACCCGTGTTGTGCACTTGCACAGGGCGACGGCTGCCGGCAGGATGAGCAGCTGGAGCTCCTTGCATCGCTGGTAGGGACCAACATGGCACAGGGTGACATTTTTAGCAATTTCTTTTTATAAGGTTAAATATATGCTTGCAGCAAATACGCTGTTAACCGTTCCTAGACATGTCCCCAAAGAAAAGAGAACTTACATTCACTCAAAACCACCTTTATCTTCAATCAGCAAAAGCTGGGAAGAACCCAGGTGCTCGTGACGAGTCCATTGCACAGCACCAGTTCACTGTGTGCTCCCCAGGAGCTCAGGGACGAGCTGCCCCTGTCCGTAGCAGCCGGGTGGGCATGTGAGGCCGGCTGAGTCAGAGGCATCTCCAGGTGTTACGGATTTGGGGTCTCATTCCAGTGGGCTTCTCAGGAAGCCAGAGCCGTAGAGACAGGTCCAGCTTAGTGGTGTTACAGCTAGCACTGGACAAGGCTTACGGCAGACCAAGCTCCAGGACGGGGGACTCTTCCATAGCCCGGCTGCACTGGCACTGACACAAATCTGTGCGTGTTTTAAACTCACACAGTCAATTTACTGCATGTAAATTTTTAAGTGGTATTTTTAAAAAATCCACATTAATACCTGATGGCAAGGCCACATGCTAAGAGATTCACACCGGCTTCTTTTCCTATGCCATGAAGCTGCTTCCTGCTATCCACTGAGGACAGGTGTCGCCTCCCAAATCCACACAGCGTGGCCTGAGTGAGCCGCCCCACCTACCTGAGTGTCTGGTGCGCCCCGCGAGATGACGGACTACACCAAATCCACTTGGGTTTTAAACGCTTTTTCTGTTAATGAGGCAGGGCCAGGAAATCTTTGTTTTCCAGCTCTGGCTATAATGTCTTGGCCAGAGACAGGCACTGATGTTTCTGCCCTCCGCCCTGGGAAGTTCTGTTTTGTTTCACTTAATCCCACATGTCCTTCTTTTTGGTGTTTGTGTTATTTGAAGTGTAAATGAGTGATTCAGGGCATAGACCACAGAGCTGCCCTGCCTGCACTGGAACCTGGGCTCTGTCTACCCCTCGCTCACTGTGAGGCCGTGGCCAGTGACTTAATAACCCTACGCTGCTGTTTGCTCATCAGCAAAATGGAACCAGTAATAACAATACTTTGAGTAAATACTGTTTTTTGTTATAGTTATTGTATAATCTTTAGAAGTATTTTCTTCTCTCATCTACATTTTTTGTGTTTTGGTACTGGGGATCAAACTCAGGACCTTGCACTTACAAGGCAGGCAGCAGCACCACTGAGCTAAATCCCTGGCCCTCTCTCATGTAAATTTTAAAGCATTTTCCCGTTACATTTATTGGTACATTTAACACAAACAGTACAGTTACATTTATCATTGGGATCTTGCACCTTTACATGATAGGTCTTGGTTCTTGTTTTTTCTCTGTACCCCTGTCCTCCCTTCACCCCTTCACCCTTCCCTGTTTACAAAGACAAAGCATTTGAGATCAGAGAACAGAGTAGAGGTTAGTGTGAGCGTATCCAGAAGAAGAACTGAGCTTACTTCATTTCAATGCTGTAGGTAAGAGTTTAGGAATAATTTTTGTACAGCAGGATAAATTAGCAGCACCCTAAATCAGAGTGTGTTTAAAAGAACACTAGTGAACTTTACAATCACTTTTTTAAAATCCCCTTGTTTTATTTTGTTTTGGGTTAGTTTTAAGAAGCTATCCTCCTGCCTCAGCCTGTAGGTAACTGGGACTACAGGCATAGAACCACCACCTGGCTGCCTTGTTTATTTGTTGTTTTCTTCATTCATCCTTCTATCTATATCTGTCTCTCTGTAATCAGTCTGTCTGTCTGTCTCATCCAACCAGAGAAGTTCTGCCATTAAACTGTAGCCCCAGCCCTTTTTATTTTTTTATTCTGGGACAGAGTCTCACTAAACTGGGTGCCAGTCTCCTGCCTCACCCTTCCATGTAGCTAGGGTTAGGAGTGTGTGCCACTGTGCTTGGCCCTTGTTTCTTTTCAAGCAGAGGGTTTTTTTTTTTAAACTTTGTAGGATCTCCCTTTTCCTTCTGAGGAAGGGATTTACTTGTTTCATAAAACTTGATATGATAAATCCTAGAGGGTCAGGGATTTGGCTCAGTGGTTCCACCGCCTGCCTTGCAAGCACAAGGGCCCAAGTTCAATTCCTGGTACCAAAAAAAAAAGAAAGAAAGAAAGAAATCTGAGAGTAGTAATTTATTGAACAGAAGCAACCCAACATGCTGGAATAATTACCTATGAAGACAAACAAGTTTAAGTATTTCAGTTAGTTTGAGATCAGTGTAAGAAAGCAGAAGACATTCTGAGTGGCTCTGTATTTACAGAGACCTGGGTGACAACATTACCCTCTCGTTCTTGTTTTTGGATGTGGTAATACAAGCCCTAATGCCCATCTCAACAGCTGAATGATTTGGCTAGATTTAATTTTTTCAGTGTAATTTTTTTGTTTCCAAGGTAAGTATTAAAAGTATGAAGAGATAATTTCCCTTCTCATATTTATTTTCCAGTCATAGGAATGTTCTTCCAAAACATGCAGTTATTCTCCTCTTTTTTTTTACTAGGCAAATTACAAAAGGAAAGCGCTTTATCACGAGCCTCTGAGGAGAGCCTCGGTGAAGTCCAGGAGGTGGGATCCCCAGTCTTCACAGAGCTCCCAGGCACCAAGACCAGTGATGACAGCACGGTCCCTCTCACCGGGCCACCTGGGGAGATGGCAGCGGCGCCAGTGTCCTCAGAGGGTCCCTCCACAGGGAGCCACCCCCGGGCCACCTACGGTAGGGCTCGCCTGGACAGAGCGGCTCACGTGTGTCAAGGGATTTTCTCAGGAGAGGCCCTGCCTGAGTGTGGGCACAGAGGGTCCCAGTTTCATGTTGTGTGTGTTTGTGTGAGAGGGGAGCAAGTGGATTGCTGGAGCCAGAGCCCTGAGTGGCCTGAGCACACGCTCTGCCACCAGAAAACCTTGGAGCCAGAGGCTCTGGAAGCCACATTGTCGTCAGCAGAGCAGGTTCCCACTTGTCCTGGGGCCTTCTCCACACAGTGTTGGCAGTGTCCCCAGAGTTGCTAAAGACTTCACTTCAGCTCTGAGGCTGCTTTCCTCAGGGAAGATGAGAAAGCTAAAGCTGGAGTGAAGGAGAGGGTCCTGCCACAGAAAGGACTGAATCCTGGACTCCATCCAGACCTGCCCGGTGTCCTTAGCCTCCTGACATAGGCCCATGAGGACTACGACCCTGGCCCCTCCTGTCCACGGGTGCAGACTCAGACCCCACCCAAAGCAGGCAAACTGGTGTTCCAGGTTTTTCTTTTGGTGCCAGGAGCCAACCCAGGGCTGTGCATGAGCTGCGTGTGCTACACCCCAGCCCTCCACACAAGTGAATCGATTTTGCCCTCTGATCTGAGAGAAACCACGCCTGACTGTCCCGAATGACCTGTGAAAAAACACCAGCATCGGGCTGGGGATTTACCTCGGTGGCACTGTGCCTGCCTGACAGGTGCAAGGTCCTGAGTTTGATTCGTGGTTCCACAAAAAAATAAAAAAGGAAAGAAAAGAAAAGAAACCACAACAAAGAAAACACACTAGCATCTCTCTTTCACCTGCATGGGGTTTTGTCTCGTACTCCACGTTTTCCCTCAATAGATTCAGTATAGCATCTCCCTTTATTGACACCTGGAAACAAAGAATGCTGTTGTCCTTTCTGGAAGATGCCTTACAGCAGAACTTCAGTAACATTTTTGCCATACCATGTTATTAGTTCTATTCTTCAGCTGTATGTTTCTAAGGGTTGGTTGGTTGATTGGTTTGAACTTTATGGCACGTCCTTTATAGTTAATTTAGAAAATAAAGTGTATAGAAAAACATCTAAAGCACCCATAATTCAGCCTCTGGGGCTTAGCGCCATGAAATAACAGGGACTTTTCCCTCAGACATGTTTCTGTGAGAAGGTTCCACAGTAATGAGGCTTTGCTAACTCCTTTTCAGGACGTGCACTTTCCATGACTCACAGCTCTGCAAAGTCACCAGTCTCCAATGGCACCTTTGGCTTTGAGGGCCACACAAGGAGTGACGGTCACGTGTACCACACGGTGCACAAGGACTCGGGGCTCTACAAAGACTTGCTGCACAAAATCCACATCGACAGGGGCCCCGAGGAGAAGCCAGCACAGGAGAACAGCTACCGGCTGCTGCGACGGAACAACAGTTACACCTGCTACACGGCGGCCATCTGCGGCCTGCCCGTCCACCCCACCTTCAAGGCCGCTGACGTGTCCTCAGCCCCTGAGGACAGTGAAAAGCTGGTGGGGGACACTGTGTCCTACTCCAAGAAAAGACTTCGCTATGACAGCTACTCCAGCTACTGCAACGCGGTAGCGGAAGCGGAGATCGAGGCCGAAGAGGGCGGTGTGGAGATGAAGCTGGCGTCAGAGCTTGCTGAGCCGGGCCAGCCTCGGGAGGACCCCGTGGAGGAAGAAAAGGAGGAGAAGGACGCAGCTGAGGTCCACCTCCTCTTCCACTTTCTACAGGTCCTCACTGCCTGCTTCGGGTCCTTTGCTCACGGCGGCAACGATGTGAGGTGAGGAAGTCGTCTCTTCAGTAAGTGTGAGGGAGGCAGCAGCAGGCGGGCAGAGTGCGAGCTGCGGGCGAAGGTCCCGCGCCCTGGAGAGGCGCAGACAGTGACTTCGGCGCACACGTGCTGGGCAGCCACGGTGAAGAGGGAACCAGACCCTGGCGGACAGGCAGGGCTTGCCGAGTGGGGTCCTGAGTGCTTCAGGGCGCTGCCCGGTGGATGGGGCAGCGGGGGTGAAGGCCCTGGGGGCTCCGGGAAGAGCAAGAAGCCCAGGGGGAGGAGGTGGCGGCTGTGGGCAGCAAGGCCCTCAGTGCACAGGGCTGTGTGAGCAGAGGAGGGAGTTTTTTATCTGCTGGGTGCTGCACACACCCGCGGCCCCGCTGCTGCAGAGGCTGAGCCAGGAGACGATCAGCAGTTTGGGCCGGACTGGGCTGCACAGCGTGGACAAACCGAGAGAGGGACTTTTACACTGCGAGTGGAGCAAGTGGATGTTGTGAGTGGGACTTCCCGATGCGCGCTTACCGGGGTTGCTCTGGCTCTCGCTTTAGACTCCATGTAGGGCCCGGCAGGAGGCCACTGAAGTGGTCCAAGGAGACATAATGGCCCTAGGGCCCGGGAGGTGGCAGGGCAGCTAGATCCTGTGGGATTTGTGACAAGTTGGTTCCGAGTGTGAGCGAAGGCAGAGCAGCAGGCTGCATTCACCTGTTCTGCTGCCCTAAGAGCCACTGCCTATGGGAACAGGCTGGTGGGCAGTGGGAACTCACGTACAGAACCCTGTGATGTCCGGGTGACCCGGCAGTCACCTGCAGGTAGAGGAAGGCCAGGCTGGGTGCAGTGAGGTGCGAGGGTGATGCAGGCAGCAGAGAGAGAGATCCCCACTCTGGGGCCCTGAGCGCTGTGGGAAACGTCAGGGAGCGTCGAGGACTTTGTAGGAGCTGACTTTGTGTCCATTCACCGGGAAGCTGACATTGGCCCTCTTTAATTCTCTATTCGTTTATAACCTTTTGACTTGTTACTAAAAGGTATGCCCAAAATTGCAAACAAAATATTAAACTTCCAGCCATTCAGTCAGCAAACATCGCGCACCTGCTATTATCAGGTAATTCAGGTCCTTCTTGCCTCAACAAGCCAAACACGATGTCAGCAGTTTATTTGAAGAGTACGAGGTGAAGGGGTAAGGGAAAAACCGGCTCTGCAGAGCGAGCTTGGGCTGAATAAGAAAAGAACAGCAAAAATAAAGGTGCCCTCTGTAGGGAAGATGCCCTGAGGGGCCGGAGCATGAGGAGTCAGGACAGCGGGCTCCTCCTGGCGGCTGGGTCCATAGAACTGTCCACATCTGGCGGGGCCCTGGGAACTATGTGGCTCTGTCCTGAGATCTTCTGATTGATAGGTCCTGCTCCTTTCCTGTGCCTCTCCTCATATATCACTGCTGTGGAGCATGAAGATCAGCTGAGGCAGTGGGGCCTGGCCACCCAGGGCCCCTGGCGTGGCAGCAGCTCCAGCTGCTGAGGGACACATGGTCTGGGGCCACTGGCAGGGTCACTAGTGCCCCAGGCCTTTTTTTGTTTGTTTAAGTTGAATGTATTGGTACATTCTAGGTAGACAGTACAGTCACATTCATTACTGGGATCTTGTACCTTTACGTGCCAGGTCTTGGTTCTCATTTTTTCCCCTTGTCCCCACCCTCCCTTCACCCAATTCTCCTTTCCCTATCCTTCTCACTGTCCCTACACCTTTGGTCCTTTTCTTCCTATTTCACATTGCTAATTATCCTGTTAGGATCTTGAGTACTATTTGAGTTTTTCACACCAGAGAAACTATTCAGTATTTGCATATGTGTGACTTATTTATTTCACTTAGGAGTATATCCTCAAAATGTACCCATTTACCTATGAATGAATCTACTTTCTCATTCTTTATGGCTGAGTAGTATTCCATTTTATAGAAAAACCGCATATTCTTTATCCAGTTTCCAATTGATGGGCAAATGGGCTGTTTCCAAGTTTTAGCCATTAACAAACTGTGCTGCTATAAACACGGGTGCACATATATCACTGTGGTATGATTCTTTTAATTCTTTTGGAAAGATACCCAGCAGAGGGATGGCTGGGTCAAATGGAACCTCTACTCCCAGCTCTTTTTGAGGTATCTCCATATTGACTTCCATAGTGGTTGTACCAGTCTGCACTCCCACCAACAATGGAGAAGGGCTCCTTTCTCCCCGCAACCCCGCCAACATTTGTTATTGTGTGATTTCTTGATAGCAGCCATTCTTTGTGGGGTGAGGTGGAATCTCAGTGTTGTTTTCATCTGCATCTTTCCAATGACCAGTGATGTGGGACATTTTTTCATATATTTACTTGGTGCTTTTACTTGTTTGTCTGAGAAATGTCTATTCATTTCAGGTGCCTATTTTTGAATTGGGTCTTTATATTTTCGGGGGAACTGGTTGTTTTGAGTTCTTTATATATTCTAGATAATAGTCCTTTGAGGAGCAGCTGGTAAAAAGTATTTCCCACATTGTAGGTTGTCTCTTAGTTCTGTTGATGGTTTCTTTTGCAATGCAGAAGCTTTTTAATAAGATGAGATCCCAGTTGTTGATTCCTTCTGCTAGTTCCCGCGCTACTGAGGATTTGTTCATAAAGTCTTTTCCTATGCCAATGTCTTCCAGAGTTCTGCCTAATTTATCTTCCAGCAAGTTTAGTGTATTTTGTTTTTATTTAGATCTTTCATCCACTTGGATTTTAATTTAGTGCATGGTGGCAGATAAGGGTCTAGTTTTAATCTTTTGCAGGTTGAGATCCAGTTTTTCCAACACCATTTATTAAAGAGACTGTCTTTCCTCCAGTGGGGACTGTCAGCTCCTTTGTCAAAGATGAGGTAGCTGAGTATATCTGGAGTTGTTTTTGTGTCTTCCAATCTGTTCCACTGATCCTCAGGTCTGTTTCTTTGTCAGTACCATGCTGTTTTTATCACAGTGGCTTTGTAGTATAGCCCCAGGCCTTTTGACCAGACACCTTGGGTGGCTCAAAGCAAATAACTGAGCACTTCAGTTGCCTGTGGCCTTACTGTCCTCCCTCCAGACACGTACACAGGATGTGTAACCAAGCGCAGCTGCAGCCTCATGCGCTAGGGCAGCAGGGTCTCTGCCTGAGCCAGAGCACAGGGGCCTGCTGCCTCGGCCTCCCCAGTCCAGCTCCATACCAAGGCCCGGCTGGGAGCAGGCAGGGCAGACCCCACCATTGGGTCTTTCCTGTCTGGTTAGGCACCTGCCTTCCGGTTCTGTCCAGCTGGTGAGACCACTGCCAGCGGTGGGACTTTCCACGAGGACGTGTGAGGCACTGATTCCATAGTGAGGCCGCTAAGGTGCCGCCCTCGCCTGGCGTCTGCACAGCTTGCTGTGTGCAGCTTCCCTCTGCTCTTCAGCTAGGAGGTTGTGCTGCCAGCTGCTCCTGGGCGTCTTCCGCCCCACACAGAAGGGTTCCCGTGTTTTATTTGGGGCATTGTGTTAGTTACTTTTCTCTCATTGCTCAGTCAAAGCACCCAGCATCTGAAGTTGAAAGGGAAGAGGTTTATTTGGCTTACAGTGTACAGAGCTTTCAGATGGGAGCAGCCCAGGTGTGCAGTGAGGAATGGGTGAATTAACAGGTGTGGCAAAGATTTATACAGTGAAAGATGACTCATCCTTATAAAAGGAAGGAAATCCTGGCCCGAGCTACATCGTCAATTAACCCTGAGGACATCAATACACAGAAACAATACACAGGGCTCTCCCCAGGTGAGGGATCTAAAGCGGGCAGAGCCACAAGACCAGAGGGAGGCGGGCGGTTGCCAGGAAGGACACAGAATAGTTGTTGAGTGAGTTTCAGATTTCAGATGAAAAAGTTCTGGAAATTTTTTTCACAGCGATGTAAGTAGATTTAACACTGCTCACTTTATACGTCAAAAGGGCTAGGGTGGTATATTTTGTGCTTTGCTTCTGGCTGCAATAAAACAACCATTTTTGTCACCACCAGATCGTACCATTGAGCCAAAGTCTAATAAGATCGTCTGACTCTCAAGACTGAAGTTGCTGTGCTTGCCCAGTGCTGTGTGTCTGTGTAATATAACTATATAACTCGTCTTTTCTTTCCCAGCAATGCCATTGGGCCCCTGGTAGCTCTGTGGCTGATTTATGAGCAAGGTGGAGTAATGCAGGAAGCGGCCACACCCGTCTGGCTGCTGTTCTACGGAGGAGTTGGCATCTGCATGGGTCTCTGGGTTTGGGGGAGAAGAGTGATCCAGACCATGGGGAAGGACCTCACTCCCATCACCCCGTCCAGGTAGGCAGCAGGGTGGGTTGGGGCCCATGCTGGACAGCCAAGGCTGGTGCACGTCTCTCCCCGGGACCGAGAACCCTGCCCCTCTGCAGTGGCGCTGACCTGATGTACAGTAAAACAAGCAGGAGAGGCCCAAGCAGAGCAAAGGGAGGCTCCAGGCACTGTGATGTGGGGTGCGGGAGCCCCACAGTGCCCCATCACACTGGCTCCTCCCACCCCCGGGAGGCACCAGAGAGCCCACCTGGCTTCTCTTCTGTGTTACTCTGCTTTCTGTCCCCTTAATACATACCTGAGATAATCATCTGAAAAGAGAAAAGGTAAGCTGGGCACGGTGGTGAGTGCCTCATAATCCCAGCACTGTGGAGGATGGCGCAGGAGGATTCCAAGTTTAAGGCCAGTGTGGACAGCTCGGTGACTTAGCAAGACTCTGTCTCAAAATTAAACAAAAAAGGACTGGAGATGTAGCTCGGTGGTACGCGGTTTAATCCCCAGTACCAAAGAGAAGGACAGAAAGGAAGAGAGCAAGACACAGAACAGGCTTATTTTGGCTCATCGTTTGAAGGGTTTTGGTCAGCTTTGAGCATCCAGGCAGCACTGTGTGGCACGGAACAGCTGCTCTCTTTGTGGCCAGGAAGCAAAAGAGAGGGAGGAGGGAGGAGGGCACACTTTCTGTCCCCGTGACGCTAGGCCTCAGCCACCTCCACTAGCATCACCCTGGAGACCAGGCCTGTAACGTGCGGCCTGTGTAAGACCCAAAGTCTAGCCGGACTCAGTGGCTCACGGCACTAAGACAGGAGCATCATGAGTGTGAGGCCAGCCTTCTCAACTCAGCAAGACCCTGCCTCAAAATTTTAAGAGTATTTTACTGAGGATGTAGCTCCCCGAGTTCAGTCCCTAGTAACACACGCACTCACGCACGCACACGTGCACACACAAGAATTCTTCAGCTGCACCCACCCTCACCTGCCGTCCGTCCTCCAGCCCTGTCACATCGGCAAGTGTGCCGAGTGTTTTAGGGGCTTTACATGTGGTCATTCTGCTGTGCAGCCTTTGGATACGCTAGGGGTTAGAAAGAGAACTTTCAGGACTTCCCAACTAAAATCTGGAAGTACTATTTCAGAAAAAATTTTTTTCTGCTCTCTTTAAAACGTATTGGAAGGGCCCATTTCCTTTTCTTTCGCATTTTCACTCCCCACCCCTTGCAATCATTTTAACAAAAGATCCTTTCAGAAGACTGATTTGAAGCAAAATTAACTTAGAAAAATTTATTTTTGGTGATCACATTTTAAAAATGAGAGCATAACGGATTCATTGGAGTTTCTGACCCAGTTCCCTGCAGTGTGTGGTTTTGGAACCCTATAAGAGAAACTGACCCAGATGGTAAGCAACGCTGAGTGTGGCCAGGCCGTGAATCGCTGCGGCCATGGCACTTCTGGTTCTGTGTCCGTCAGGGATGTTCTGATGGGATCCCAGCACACGGGTGTCGGGAGGTGGCACATGGAGTGTCTGACACGTCTTCCTGTGTCCCTCCCGCAGCGGCTTCACGATCGAGCTTGCCTCAGCCTTCACAGTGGTCATCGCCTCCAACATTGGGCTTCCTGTCAGCACCACGCACTGCAAGGTAGGCGAGCACCCCAGTGCTACCCAGGAAAAGCAGCTGTGTCTCTACTGGTCACTTGTGACAAAGAGCCTCTTGGCATGTGCTGTGTCTCCCAGAGTGCTGCTGGGTGGATGTGGCCCTTGATCCACTGGGACTGGCCTTGGGGCCAACCGCTGGTGATGTCTCAGAGTGTTCCAGTGTAGCTTTTTCGGCACAAGCACCAGGCTTCTCTGTGTGTGTGTGCGTGCGCGTGTCCCGGGGTCCTGTGCGGCCTCTGTCTCTCCGTACTAGATTCTGCACTGCTACACTGGGGACGTGTGTCTCCATCCATAGTCTCAAATGAGGGCAGCCACTCAGTTCTGGCCCACTGTGTGGGGCTGGACAGTGGGAAGAGAGACAGAATAGAAACGACTGCCGTGGAATAAGACGCAGGCGTTCCTTCTGTGATTGTGTTGCCCTAGAGTAAATCCAGGTATGGGGGTGGTAACTGCCAGTGCTGCAGGGATGTGTGACAGGAGCAGCGTCAGAGTGCTGGGAAGTCTTGGGACCCCCACAAGGGTGACGGGTTACACAAGCACAGGAGCCAGAAGCAGCCCCGAGCTCCGATAGCCCAGATTCTGGGGTGATGCTAACCACCCCCAGGGGTCTCATATACAAAAATACTTACCAACCTCAAAAAGCAAAAGCCACATCCAGACTGTCCCTGGGTTCACTCCTTCGTATCCTTCAGGAAACACCGGTACCTGCTAGGCACGAGCCACTGTTGCAGGCACCAGTGGGATTCAGCAGCCACAAGGTAGAAACCATCACTACATTACCCGCATCCTAAAACCCCAACCTATGTGTTGATAAACAAATAACAACTAACTGCAGGTAGCCCAGTGCTTCGGATACTAAGGTCAGGCAGCATTTATGAGGCTCTAAGTGGGCCAGCGTGTTTAACACAGAGTTGATTTTGCGGCATAAAATCAGCCCCATTAGAAAAAAGTGTCTCCTGTCTTTTTCCCTTCTTCGCTACAAGCTGGAAAAACCTTCATTTCCATGAATGTAACTGGCTGAGTGTATGCAGCATGCCAGGCACTGTGCCTCCTGCCTTGTACATGCACAGCACCTCCTCTCCTTAGCAGTGCTATGAAATTAACCTGCTACTCCCAGTTTACAGGGGAGAAATGCCGTCCAGTTAGGTCACTTTCCAAAGGGCCTCCAGCTAGATTGTGACAGAAGTAGCTTCAGTGTGTCCTCATCTGGGCTACTCCTGTTGTCCCCAGGGTAGGCAGGCCTGCAGGCTCAGTTGTACCAAGCAGAAATCTGCTGCACTGTGACAAGTGCACTGGGAATTCTAATGCAGGTCCCCGAACCTGTGGAGGTGAGTACTGCTGTTCCCCTCCCCCATTTGTAGAGGTTGAGACCTAGAAAAGCTAGCCAGCTTGCCCGAGAGCCAGAGGAAGGCTGGAGGGGCTGGGTCTCCTCCCATTCATCAGCTGGAACTATTGGGATTGCAGCTATTAAAACGTTCCCAGAGGGGCTAGGGTGTAGCTCAGTGGTAGAGCACTTGCCTAGCATGGGTGAGGCCGAGGGTTCCATCCCCAGCACCACAACAAATAAAATAGTTACCCCAGAAACACATGCTCCTTCAAATACTTCATAGAGTACAAAACTATATAGAATGAAAACTGACCTCCTCCTGCAGGAAGAAACTTGAACTTTACTGAAGGGGTAGTCTTTGGGCTGTTTTTAAGTAAACGTTCCGTTATCTGTTTAATGATTAGCTGTCCATTTTGGCAAGCCTAACTGAGATTCTAGGCCATGGACCAGTGCATAGACGTGGACTTCAGGAGCAATCCCTTCATGTCAGCCTCAGGAACGTGGTGCTGGGGGGCACAGAGGCTGGCCCACGTCTCCTCCATGCAACAGAAGATGGCAGTGCTAGTGAAAACCTAAGGCTCTGGAACTTTGATGCACCCAATAAAATTAGAACTAAATAATGTCAAAGCTGTTAACCAAAGCTCAGAAATCATAGTGCCCGAGTTTGTGATAAATGAAGTACAGAAGCACTGAGGAGTACAAAGTGTTTAAACAGTATCTTTGAGGCAGAATAAGAAGAATGTATCAAATTTTTACCAATCATGTTTTCTTGTCAAGGGTCTCTAAATTTTGAAAAACAGAAAGGATGTTACCTACAAGGTGTGATCACAGTGAAATTAAGTTAGAAATAAGAATGTACCACCTTGGGTAATTTTAATGCCCTTTTTGTGTGTTTCTGATGATAGTGAGGATTGAACGCAGGGAGTGCTGAGCTACATCCCCCACTCTTTTGATTTTTCTCTCTGGAGATGGCTCTAAGTTGCCCAGGCTGGCCTTGAACTTGTACTAACCCTCCCAGGTCGCTGGGACTAAAAGTGTAGGCCACCCTGGCCAGCTCTTTGGCGATCTTTTAACATTTAATCAGGGAGTTTAAAAAAATGCAAGGATAGCTTTCTTGGAAATTAATAAAAACTAAATGTGTCTCTGTGTGCATCTGTCTGGATACACATAATAAAACCATAGCAACCAAAGTTGTGCTAAAATAAAAATTCACATCTTTAAATAGCTTAATTCTTCAAAAGGAAAATAAGCAAATATTCAAATTAGGATTTTATAAAAAGTTCAGAACAATAAAAACTTGAAGGAAATTGAAGGATAAAAAATAAAATAAATTTTAAAACAAAAATAGTAAAGAACAGTTGTTAATACTATCCAATCACATTAAAAAGGAGGAAAAGGAACTGTTAGGAAAGTCTTTCGGTGAACAGATATAGAAGTTTCTGTTTTATGCTTTTTGTTGAGGCAGAACCTCAAGTCATAGCCCAGGATGCCCTCCTTAACCCTTGGGCTCATGAGAGCTTTCTGCCTCAGCCTCTGAGTAGCTGGCACTGTAGGCTCCCACTGTGCCTGGCTTGAAAAGAAACATTTTTAATTATGAAAGAAACCACACAGCTATAAGCTAATGGTTTGAAAAATCCCCTGTGAAATGAATTCTTTTCTGTAAAACTATGTATGACAGAGAAGCACTGCCTGACATAAGCTTTAGTTTGGATAAGGAGAATAATCTACAGGTCCTACATTGAGAATAAAATAGAATTTTGTTTTAGAAAACGTAGAATAAAGTATACAGCATATATTCAAGCTAAGGATAAATCACAGAAGAAAAGCATTATTTCACTGCATGAAACTAGAAGCTAAAAATAGTTAAAACAAAACTAAATATCCTAGATTAATAAGATATGTGTATTAGATACCACACAATCATGTCATTCAGTAAGGATCACAAATAAATAGGGGACACATTTGACATTTGACTACAATACATAAATGGGCAAAATATATAAATACAGTTTTTATATGTTAAAAACTAGAAGGAATGAAATTGGGTAGATACATAAAAAAATTTAAACTTACTTGTAAATACAAATATCCAAATTGGGCTGGGGCTGTAGTTTAGGGATAGGATGCTTGTCTAGTGTGCCGAGGCCCTGGGTTCAATCCCCAGCCACTAGAAAAGTAAACAAGAAGTAAATTAAGGCACCTTTCGAGAGAAAGATCATTACCAGAGACTGTTATGGGTGACATTTTAGGTAGGCACATCTCTTTCTGTTCTGGTACCGGGATCAAACTCGGGACCTTGCTCTAGTGACGCAGGAGTCGGCACCACTGAGCCAAGTCCCCAGCCCTAGGCACATCTCTTTATAGAACTGTTTGGCAGTTTGTATTATGATCCTAAAACACTGGAGGAATGCGCTCGCTCTTTATCTGCGTAGGAAGTTGGTAAGTCACCACTTTGCTGCCATCATAATATGGAATCGGTTTCTTAACCTTCACAGAAAGGAAGAGAGGTTTGATGAGAAACAGAATATTAAAATGTCTCTTCACAAACTGTAGAAAAATGTTAAAATTAGGGAATTTCGGTTGAGCATATATGGGAGTTCTTATAACTTTTCTTTAAATTTCAAATGACATCCAGATACATAAAAATGATCCAGATGAAATAAGTGTACATAACTTCCCCAAGATGAAATGTAATTATACATCACAAACATATACTAATAAATTTTTAAAGTTCCCTTTCAACTATCTATTTCAGGGGATATTTTTAAGCCTCAGTGGAAGCCTTATGAATGAATGAATGCATTAAACATGGAACTAATTCTGATAGGAGAAAATTAGAAGCACATTGGAAATGGTGAAGTAAATGAAGGGACATCACACAAGCCTCATAAAGGCTGTGCGGCACTGTAAGAAAAGGGTTCAAACATTCTTTAAAATAGTAGCATACCCGATAATGTACAAATAAAGGTATGGTTATAAGAAATCCTAGAAAAGAATGTGCAAATGTGGCAAGAGTGAAGTTCTGCGTGACCGTCCACCGCCCTACTGCACACACTTGCTGTACTATTACTGTGTTCCTTGGATTCTCTGAGACAGACGGAGGGTGTGGAGCAGCCCGAGTCCTGAGCTTCCCCCGCCACCCCCAGGTCACCCAAGACAGAAGGGGAAGGCAGCATCTGCAATACAGCACAGGAGTTTACTCACAAGCTAATGACTGTGAACTTGATTATTTTTGAGGCCCAACATAACCTAGCCAGTCCTCGGAGTAGAAAAATCATTACTGTCCAGCATGTCGTAGGAAATGCTGAGTATGATTATCATAGTCATACTGTGCACTCACTAGAACCAGAAGGATTTAAGTAGTAATCGCGATGCCCCTGTGATGACTGGCCAGTTGGTATCCTGGACATCTGGCATCTTGAACATGTACTGAAGTTGCCAGGTCATCTTGGTGTGGTTGGGAGGACTGTCAGACTAACGGCATTGAAAGACGCCGCCGTTCTGTGGTGTTCAGTTCATTTCCATGTGAAACAGGTGTTGGGTGTTTTCTGTAGTTGCCCGCTGATGTTTAAGTCGTCTGCTTGAGTCCCATTAGCCACTTCTAATTCTTGAGTATTTGGAGAGAGAGTATATTTTAGGGAGTTCTTCAAACTCCAGCTTTCCTGGGACGGGGCATCCTTACCCAGTCCTCATGTGAATGCTGTGGACACTGCTTGCTTATGGTTTTCATTTTCTAGGATAAAATAATGTCCCTTTTCCTCTTTGTAAATTTTTAAAAACACACATAAATGAGCTGCAAGTATTTAGAAAAATACTTGGACCACTATTAATACTCTGATTTTCACGTATCTATAACCGTCATTTTACGAGTTACCATTGACAGGATAGGTCTAATATCTATTAATGCAGAATATACGTGAAAAAGCATATACTTTTGGGCTGGAGACTTAGCTCAGTGGTGCCACCGCAAGTGCAAGGATCCAAGTTCAATCCCTGGTACCAAAAAAGAAAGGAAGAAAAGCAAGCAAGCAAGCATGCATATACTCTTCAGAAGTATATTATCAAAAGTATATACTGAATACAATAACCCTAAAACAATTATACATAAAACCGAAACTATTTTTAAAACAAACCTGGGAAATAACTGACGATTTTATACCATTTATTTCTGTACTTAGCCTGTTTACCTTGGTTAATGTCGATTTTGTGTCCCTTTAAACCCCTATGAGTCTCACTTTTTTACCTTACACTGTTTGCCTCTGCAGGTAGGTTCAGTGGTGGCCGTGGGCTGGATCCGCTCCCGGAAGGCCGTGGACTGGCGCCTCTTCCGGAACATCTTCGTGGCTTGGTTTGTGACTGTCCCCGTGGCCGGGCTCTTCAGTGCCGCTGTCATGGCTCTCCTCATGTACGGAATCCTTCCGTACGTGTGACTTCCTTCTTCCAACCAGTAAACTGCTGAAGGGACAGTCCACACTGTGTGGAAGCCATGTGCCCCGTGTCGCACACAGGCTGTCCCCAGCCCCCTCTCCACATCCCTGCCAGACGGTTCCACACCACACCGCTCACCAGGCTGCAGGGCTGCGTCCTCCAGGGCCAACGTAACTACTGTACATAGTAACGTGTATTAAACTGGTATTGTGGTGATACAGGCGGTGCAGTTACTCACATATTAAATATACATTGTATACATAGACTAGGTAGCATTTCAGACATATTCGAAATGGGAGTGGAGAGTATTTCCTAGAATTCAGTATTAATAAATAATGTACATCATGATTTAAGTGGCAGATGTTAAGAACTTTACCAAGGAAAGTGTAGACTGGAAAAGGTTTTTTTCCAAGTATTTTCCCCTTCTAATATACTATATGAGAAGTGAAATCACAACACAAACTTGGGCAAGCGTATGCAGGCGCAACTGATAATCCTGGGACGAGAGGTCACAAGTGCTTTCAATGAGTGTGTTCATATGCTGTGTTTCAATTACTGTATAATATATCATAATTGCTTTTGTAAATACAGTACTTAAAATGGTAATTTTTTAATGGCGTGCTTCCCTTACACTTTTTAGAGCAGAGAATTTTGGAAAGTACCAAAGAAGCAGGGGAACGGTTTGCCAGTATTACGTTTCCCTTTGTCTGTCTCGCTTCTCATGCTCACGCCCACTGCCTGCAGTGTCGGCGACCAGCCAGGCTCCAGCTCACACCAGCACTCGTCACGTCGGTGTCACAACTGAGTCCCCCCGCCCCGCGGCAGCACACTGCTGCCCCATACCAGACCCTGCTCAGCCCCCGAGTGGCCTTTCATCGTCACCAGCATGGAGAACGTGCTGAAGTGAGGACGTGCCACGAAGCACCACACGTCAAGTCGAGCTCGCCTCCACCCACTCTCCCCCGCAGCCCGGAACACAGAATTCCTGTCTCAGACATTAAGGCCAGTGAGGCTTTTGATGTGCTTGACATTTTAGAAATCTGGGAGCTCAGGGAGCTGAGATATTGGAAAATACACTGGGTTTGAGGGTTTCCTTGAGGCCTTTACATCCTGACACTCTCCTAGAGTCTACTGGATTGTCTTCTCTTGACAGCGAGAGGGAAGAAGCCTGACTAATGTTAGAGCCTGAAACTATGGAAATGCTGCTAAAATTTTTATACTGACAAACATTTTCTCGGTACTTCATTGTGATTTTTTCATTAATCAACCACATTAAATTTATAATAAAAAAATGCCCCTCAAAAGTTTGTCTGTGAAGTCCTTTTCTAAATATCATAATGTTTTTCTTTCAGTTTCCACAAAAATGAAAGTCATAGGGAAATGCAAATATAAACCACACTGAGACCATATCTCATCTCAGAATGGCTTTTATCAAGAGCAGAAAAACAAAAGGAATTAAAGCAAAAAAGATGGGAAAGGAAGACGTTAAACTGTCATTATTTGCTGATGATATGATACTCTATATTGAAGACCCAAAAAACTCCACCAAAAGACTTCTAGGCTTAATTGACAGATTCAGTAGAGTAGCTGGATACAAGGTGAATACCCAAAAATCAATAGCCTTGTACACAAATAAGAGACTCACTGAGAGAGAAATTAGGGAAACAATTCCTTTCACAATAGCATCCAAAAAAATGAAGTATCTAGGAATCAATCTAACAAAAGAAACAAAAGACCTCTACACTGAAAACTATAGCACTCTGAAAAAAGAAATTGAAGAGGATATAAAAAAAAAATGGAAAGATATCCCCTGCTCCTGGGTAGGAAGAATCACCATAGTGAAAATGGCCATACTACCAAAACTGCTATACAGATTCAATGCAATGCCAATTGAAATTCCAACACTATATTTCACAGAACTAGAAAAAAAAAAAAAATCCAAAAATTCATTTGGAACCCTAAGAGACCTAGAATAGCAAAAGCCATCCTAGGCAACAGACACATGGCAGTGGGTATAACTATTCCCAATTTGAAACTATACTACAAAGACACTGATAAAAACAGCATGGTACTGGCAAAGAAACAGATCTGAGGATCAGTGGAACAGATTGGAACACAAAAAAAATCCAGATGTACTCAGCTACCTCATCTTTGACAAAGGAGCTGACCATCCTCAGTGGAGGAAAGATAGCCTCTTCAATAAATGGTGTTGGAAAGACTGAATTTCAACCTGCCACAGATTAAAACTGGACTCTTATCTTTCACCATGCACTAAATTAAAATCCAAGTGGATGAAAGATCTAAATATTAAAACAGAAACACTAAACTTGCTAGAAGATAAGTTAGGCAGAACTCTGGAAGACATTGGCATAGGAAAAGACTTTATGAACAAATCCTCAGTAGCGCGGGAACTAGCAGAAGGAATCAACAACTGGGATCTCATCTTATTAAAAAGCTTCTGCGCTGCGAAAGAAACCATCAACAGAACTAAGAGACAATCTACAATATGGGAAAAAGGTTTTACCAGCTGCTCCTCAGACAAAGGACTATTATCTAGAATATATAAAGAACTCAAAACAATCAGCCACCCCAAATATAAAGACCCAATTCAAAAATGGGCACCTGAAATGAACAGACATTTCTCAGACAAACAAGTAAAAGCAGCAAGTAAATATATGAAAAAATGTCCCGCATCACTGGTCAATGGAGAGATGCAGATGAAAACAACCTGAGATTCCACCTCACCCGACAAAGAATGGCTGCTATCAAGAAATCACACAATAACAAATGTTGGTGGGGTTGTGGGGAGAAAGGAACCCTTCTCCATTGTTGGTGGGAGTGCAGACTGGTGCAACCACTATGGAAGTCAATATGGAGATACCTCAAAAAGAGCTGGGACTAGAGGTTCCATTTGACCCAGCCATCCCTCTGCTGGGTATCTTTCCAAAAGAACTAAAAGAATCATATCACAGTGATATATGCACACACATGTTTATAGCGGCACAGTTTGTAATGGCTAAAACTTGGAAACAGCCCATTTGCCCATCAGTTGGAAACTGGATAAAGAAGAAGTGGTTTTTCTATAAAATGGAGTATTACTCAGCCATAAAGAATGGGAAATTAGATTCATTCACAGGAAAATATATACATATTGAGGATATACTCCTAAGTGAAATAAGTAACACACATGTAAATACCGAATAGTTTCTCTGGTGTGACTAAACTGTAATAATACATAAAATCCTAATGAGATAACTGACATTGTGAAATGGGAAGCAAGGGGCTAAAGGTGTAGGGAAGGTGGGATGGGTAGGGGAAGGGTAATAAGGGAAAAGAAAAAAATGTGAGAAAATGAAAAGATGGAAATAAAGTGTTTGTAAATGGGGAGGGGAGGAGGGGGTGAAGGGAGGGCAGGGACAAGGGGAAAAAAATCCTAAAATGTACCAATAAACTCAATTATTTAATAAAAAAAAGAATAGAAAAACAGTAAATGCTGATAAGGAGGCTGGAAAAAGAACTCTTCACTGCTGGTGGGAATGTAGAGTAGTACAGCCATCATAGGAAGTAGGATGGAGGTTCCTAAAAACCTAAAAGTAGAGCCCCCTTTTGACCCAGTAAACCACTCTTGATTTATACCCAAAGCAATTAAGGTCAGCATATTATAGAGATACCTGCATACTGCCGCACAGCTCACAGTGACCAAGAAGATACAAAGCAGCCCAAGCCCTGAGTGGGCTCATGGATAAAGCAAATGTACAGTAAAGAAAATTACAGAAAATGCGGAGTTTTGTTCAGCCATGATTTAAATTCTATCATCTGCAAGAAAATGATGGATTTAGAGATTGTCATGCTGAGTGAAATAAGCCAGATTCAGAAAGACAAGTATCACCTATTCTCCCTAGTATGTGGGATCTAAAAATTATGTCAAGATGCCTCCGCCTGCCTCGCAAGCTCAAGGACCTCAGTTCAATCCTTGGTACCAAAAAAAAAAAAAAAAAAAAAAAAAAAAAAAAAAAGATAAAGTAGAAGGGAGACTATTGGCAGGGAAGAGAGAGGACCTGTGTAGGAACGAGCCAGGGAGTATGAGCAAAAATACACATTGAAACCACCCTAAAAATGTAGACTAGGGGGTGGGGTGCAGAGGAGTCCCTGGGGAAGGGGTTGAAAATGAGCAAAGTATGTTGTGCGCTGGAACAAAGCTGCCAAAATGAAACCCATTCCTCTGCCTAACCAATGAAGAATGGAAACAAAAGCTGTAGAATTCGGCCACTTACAGTTTTCAGGTATCTTTTACTGGTTTTTGTTTTCCCCTGTATTTTACTATTGCTACACAGTTGTACAGAAAATGCACATAAACAAGAGAAGGATGAAAAGAGCCCACCAGCCCGTGTCCAGAAACCCCCAGGAACACACACCCTTCCACCACGGAGTTGCCCTGCAACTTTCTGTCCCCATCAGGACCTCATGTTGCTGGCTAAGACCCTCGGCTCAGTCCCTGCAGGCAAGTATGACCCTGTCTGTGCCGTCTTGCTCCAGGGCGGGAGAGGGAACTCAATAATTGTGCAGCAGTGATCAGAAGACACCCTCCCTCCAGAGCTGGAGCTAGGAAGGTACCAGATGAGCAACACTGGCAGGGTATAGAGAATCCCTACCCAAAAAGAAATCTGAAATCTCGATTTTTTTAAATGGCACTTTGGACCTTTCACGTCCCTGCTTCAGAAAAAGATTCATGAAAAAGAATATTCTCCCCCCAAAGTTCATTTATAAGACAACCATACAACATAAAGCAAGCAAACATTACGCAGCTCCAAGTCGCAGCATTCCCCATCCCGAGTGCCGGCCCAGCCCAGAGGGGTGAGGCAGGGCCCCAGCAGGTGGTCACACCACACAGGCAGTGTCTGGAGAGGAGCCTCACAAACCCTCCCTGCTCAGGTCTCTACATCTGGCAAACGAGTGGCCACTGGGTAGCTGAGCCCCTGGAGGGAGGAAGACGTCCACACCACCCTGGGCTCATCCACTCTCTAGCGTGCAGCACAGGTGGAGGATGCGGTTCCAGGCACCGCCACAGTTCACCCCCGCACGTTCCCAGTGTCCTCTGGCCTCTCCCGGTGTCCTCGTGAACCCTGCTCAGACGCAGAGCAGAGCGCTCATCTGCCCCGCTCCCAGGCCTTCGCTGCGGGAGCACCCAGCTGGGCTGCCCTGGAAGCTCAGCTCTTCAACCACCCGGCAACACCGTCTACGGCTCTTCCTGAGGATTTGAGCTTTTGAGCAATTATTTACATGCATTTATTCATTTTCACCGGGGCAGTTTTTAAAATAAGGTTTTTCCCACTTTCCCTTACTAAGCTGTGAAATTCTCAAGAAGAAAAATTTAAAACCACCCATAGTTCAGAAAACAATGACTGTAAAGATGAATGGCATCGGGATTTTATTCAGTTATACAGGAAGGTCAGAAAGATACTTTAAGGGGTCATGCCATGTTTTGCTAAGTCCTACAGCGAGGTTCTTGCCCAGATCCCGTTCACCCAATAGAGGCTACACTCACCTGTTACACGTGCTCCAAGGACAGCTCCAGAACTGGGCTCTTGGTTTCAGGTCCTGCGAAAATGACCCCGGGCAACTGACCTGTCAGCTCCATTTTCACAAATGCGGACAGCAAGACCATCTCACAGGATTGTGAGCACTTCCTGGAGAGCAGGGTAGGTGGGGAAGGACTGTTCCAGAGCCTGGCCCAGAAGGGACTTCACAAACTCCCTGAGGAGCAAGCGTCTATTCACTACCTCAGTATCTGTGCTTTGAGACAAGGTTCATGTTGTCGTCTTGAAGTGCTGAACCTCTAGGCTCAAGTGATCCTCCCACTGCACCCTCCTGAGCAGCGGGCCGAGGCACCTGGCTGCGCCTCCCTTCAGGAGGGCTGCCCCGGGGGCAGCATTAAACCAGGTGAAGGAAAGGAGTTCAAAATAAACCGGAGGGCCACAAAGGACAAACTTGAGGCGTTTATAGGTAAATGGCGAGCCTTGGGACCACACTCTTTAAGTGAAATAAATCAGAGGAACATTTCAATACAGCATTGTTTCTCTGGTATGAGAAACCAAAAGGGAAAGTAAGGACCCAAAACATATAATAGATATGGGGAAATAGGAAGAAAATGTTCAAATGGGAACAGGAACATAGGAGAGGAAAAAGGGACAAGAAAAAAAATTAAAAATGGAAACAAAGCTTTTATAAATGAGGCAAGAAGACGAAGCGGGGAGGGAAATGGGGAAAAAGAATAAGATGTATCA